TGGTAAATGAGGAAAATCTTTGAATTTATTTCTTATACTGCACCTTCAGTTTCAGCAGCAACATGCGGTAACGTGGTTTGAGTATCAAGGCTTTTGGCAATCTGAACATCTAGTACATATACTTTGTTACAAGTTGAAGATATGTTGACAACTATAATGAAACAAGGAGTAGTCCTTATAAAGTGTTAGCATAAAATAACATTTCATGAAAGACAAAAAAAAGAGACTTTTATGATCCCATTTAATTAGAATGGTTAAGCTTAATACCATAACTGCGAAAGTAAATATTGTATTTAAAACGTTCCATTGATTTTCCAGAAAAGTTATTACTTCTCGTGAGATAGTGGAAATCGTGCAAGGAATATATTCTCTATGCATTTAAAGACTTGAGTGTAAATTGAAGACAAACATATGCCAATTTGGCATTAGCCACATTCTAGACATAACTAATACTTACAACGAGATTTTTCAATACGAAATTAGAATTAGGTTGAGTAACAATCTTATACTTTGTTCAACATACTTAAAAGATATAAAAGATAATTGAACTTTAAAACATTTTTTGTGGATATTTACGCAAAGCTACATAAAGACTATTTACGCTATACTTTCCTAAGTTTAAGCTAACAGACTAAAGAAAAGGCTAATGGGATAGTGGGGATTTGCCCATCACTCATACAATGCCCTCACCCCCCCCCCCCCCAAATATTTACTTTTTCTTGAGGCAACGGTACATGAAGCACGAACCCTCAGATCCACAGTCTGGGATGCTTACCATTAGGTCGAGCCTGACCCATTTTATCTATGAAAAGACAAAAACCTTGTTATAAAATAATCTTAATCACCTTCTCAGTTAATTTTTATGCAAATTAGGCATATGATGATCACTAATGCGATTTGATGTGCAAATGAATGTTCATTCTGCATACGCTGATAAATGAGCATTTGGCAGAGATGATTTTGCAACTTTGCAGTTCATTTATTATATCTTCTTTTAATACGGAGGTGGTCACCACGAAAAATAAAGAAAGTCTTGACATTAATGTTGCATGCAATAAATTAAAGTGTTTATAAGGTCCTCAGGTATCCACGATCACTCCTTTGGAGTCACTTGTTGCGTTTTCCAAGAATATCGCATACATGCTCCAAAGGATTGAAGTGTACTAATAGGTAGGTCGTCTTAATCCAGTTAATCTTCCCATTTTCAAGAAACCAGTTTAGCATGTTAAGAGGTGGGGTTTATTATCCATTAGGCTTAAGTCAGAACCAGTTGCAGCACTATATGGAAACTCAAAGGATCATATGATGTGACCACAATAATACATTCCATTTATGACATGCTCTATTCCAACCGTTTCCAACTAATGACACGTTTACTTAGACAACTGGATAAAGCATACAATCATCTACAACACAAAGAGGATACCGATATTTTCTTTCTGGGTTGCTTCATTCTTAGGGCACCTACTACCAAAATGAACCAGCTTGTAATATACATGTCCACAAAAGCCTATTCCTGCCTACACCATCACACCAAGCAGGCCTACTGATAGTAGTAAGCCAACTCAAATTACAATACAGTCATTTTTAGGATTTGCATGAATCTGCATCTGAATTTGAAAAGCTATTTTTTTTAGTCCCTAGACAAAGTTAAGTTTCGATCTGGAATGGCTTCAAAGGCAACTGTATGATGATACTGTGTAATTGGCTAGTGTGTAGTCAGGTGTACAAGCGAGCAACGTGCTAAATAAGTAAATTGCACATCACACAATCTAAACTTAGCGCTAAATGTCTCTTTTCAGTCTGTACTGCAAATCAAAAAGATTTATAATTTGATTCAGAGATTATGTGTTTTTGGGACAAAGAATCTAATCCTGCTACAACACTAAAAAATGTATATCCCACCGATAGTCATCACGTGATGGTTGTTTGGTAATTTTGTATAAAAATGGAGCTAGTTCTAGTTCCAAATACTCACCAAACGCGTTTTCACCTGTTATGTGGGTACAGGGTGAAGTGCGAGTCACTTTAAAGATACGTTGCTCCACTTGTAATCGGTTTACTGCTTGTGTTCTTGTCACTATTGCAGGCTTACCGTGAGCAAAATATACCTCAATGGGGAGCTGGTATACAGGCTGATCTAGAAAAACTTGTTTCTAATCGTCTGTACACACTAAATTTGTGTCCAGTTGTTACTTCGAACAGCTGATACATCGTGGAAGTATTAAGATTGAAGCAATTAAAAAACGAAAAAAATCGGTAGCCTACTTGTTTTGTGGATGATAGTATGCCCTGTGAAGGTGTCTAAACAAACGTGTCGTTGGTTTGGAGGGTTCCACATTCTACTACATTTTGATATACTTGTAATAAATTCAGAAGAGCTTGCTGTGATTATCTGATTTATACTAATGAAACATCAATATATCTTCTATGAGGTCTAGTCATGGTTCATTAATACTTTGGGGAATTAAATTTGTGATTTTCTTCAAAGTGACAACTGAGATACGATTATGCGAGACATATAACAGAGCCAGAATGACCAAAATTTGCATTTTAGATGATGTGACTAATCATCGGGTGCTTGATGTCTGTAACAATGAAATAAGGGATGGATTGACATTATATTAAAACAATTCTTTTAATATATTTTAATAGCTATAAAATTTCAAATGTAAGACACCATAAGACAATTCCATTGCCAATGTGAGCTCAGCAACTGTAAACGTAAGAAACCATAAATATTAATTATTTATTTGTTTAACGAAGTTTAATTACTAGAACACTGGCAATTCATGACAATTTCAAGTGTAGGAAACTGAAAATGAGTCGAGTTTAGCCGAAGACACTTCAGCCCTGAATGTTGTAACTTGTAAAAGCTTCCCGAACTAACGTTCGAAGAAGTTGCGTTTTTAAATTAGTGATATTCCAAAATTCATAAATAAATTTTTCTAAGAAGTCATTCACGTAAATTTGAATATCTTTAAAAATTAACAAAAACGATTTATAAATAATCGAAGATTTCTGGAATACAGTTGCTGGCTGTTGTAAAGTAACAGCATATGGTAATTGTGAAGTGCCTACGTCTGGTAGTTAATTAGCTACATACTGTAGTTGTGAGTTAGCTACATACCGTAGTTGTGAGTTAACTACGTATGGTAGTTGTGAATTGGCTACATATTGTAGTTGTGAGTTAGATACATACTTTAGTTGTGAGTTGGCTACATACCGTATTTGTGAGTTGGCTACATACCGTATTTGTGAGTTAGTTACGTATGGTAATAGTGAATTGGTTACATAATGTAGTTATGAATTAGCTACATACGATATTTGTGAGTTAGCTACATACCGCAGTTGTGAGTTGGGTACATATAGTAGTTGTGAATTGGTTACATAACATTGTAGTGAATTGGCTACATACCGTAGTTGTGAGTTAGCTACATATTGTAGTTGTGAGTTAGCTACACACTGTAGCTGTGAATTAGTTACGTATGGTAGTAGTGAATTGGCTACATAATGTAGTTGTGAGTTAGCTACATACCGTAGTAATGAATTCGCTACATAGGGTAGTTGTGAAGTAGCTAATGTTACATAGAAACAAGATTATATACCCCTGGTAAAAGAACGTCAAGACAATATCCTACAACTTAGCGGTCCAGAATACTAATATTCCCTTTTCACCAACACGGGCAGGAAGAACGTTTCGGAAAAGAAATAAGGTTGAAGAAACCTAACTCATGAAGATATTTCTAATATACTATATTCTTCTGTAGGTGGCATATTTTAGTGCAGTTATTAAGTGTAAAAGTCTTCCTCTGTGTTGCAAAAATTATCCATGTATTAGGTTCGAAAAGTAATAGTATTTAAAGAGCATATTTACTAATTCCAGAAAGAGAAGTCACGTGTTCCAAGTTTTATTGATAGCTTAAAAGTTTAGAGTCGTGATCGTAATGAGACTGGTTGTAAGTTTGTTAACTTAGCGAAAGTAATATAACAATTCTTATTAAATTAGATTTTAGCATAAATCGAAGTAGTTTGATTGTGGTAACAATCTAGGTATGTTATCTACGTGTATTGAGTGAAATATTTTATGAAGATATTATATAGTCCGCTGGGAAAATACAAAATGGTTCATTAAGATGACATCGCAAATTATTGTGGGAAGATAATAAAGACATTTCAATTAATAAATCTCTTTTTTCAGTATAGAAAACGACAAAATGAATTATCTTAATAAAAGAAGCAGAACAAAAGTATATTTCTTCTAACCGTAAAGTATACATTAAGATTGTTTACAAATTATCATTGTGATGAAAGCTGTAAAAATGAAACAAGCAAGGCGTCGCTATTTGGTATATTGAAATTTGACGGTTCAGACCTTGGAAACACAAGACCTGAACTCAAAATTATCACGTTATACATGACTAATATCTTATTTCCTCTATAATTATTAACGTGAATAGTTATTCCATTGGTTTATTATTATTATATACTGACAATAACTGAAACAGCACAAAACTATTGTAAAAAGACTGAGATTTGACGAAAGACAGTTGATGATCTTCTACACCTATATTTGTGATATTTTATACATGAATTTTATGTGCTGACCTATAGGTGTTTTTGCTGTGAGCCCTTTTTCAGTTATAAAGACAGCTACTTGAACATGAAAATTTTTCCTTAGGTCTCTCACAAGCTGAGCTGGAATGAAAATGTTACTTCAATTTTGATGAAAAAACAAACAAACAAACATAAAGTCTTGACAATGGCTAATTAGTAGCTGGGGAAGAGGAAAGTTGTATTTCTTAAACTATGATCTCGTTTCCTTTAACGCTCTATAGATAATGACGGCTGTACTTATCACACTACTCCACGGAAAACATTTCGAAATGTTTCGTTTTCATGGTCATTGTTTGTCGTGAATGCAAAAAAAGTTAATATACAGCAATTATAAGACAACAAAATTAATAAAACTACGGAGTGACATACATTTATAATCATACCTATAGAAGAGTACTCCATACTTGCTATTGTTGATGTTGTGGTACTCGACCAATTGACTTTACTTATGTTCTTTGGTCCACCTAGAAAATTGCAAAGAGATTTCAGAATATACTAGTGTAATGTCACTTTAAAAATAGTTGACATTTCTCAGTTTTTATTGAAGCTAGTAATAAATAAAAACGATATGTAGTTGGTTGAAGTGCTTGAGATTTTTTTATTTTACAGTCTTTTTTATTGACAGTTAGAGGTGTCGCTAGGCTATTTTTATTTAACAGTGCCCCGAATCCCAAGTTGGTATCTTCAAATATCAGAATAGAAAACCACATGTCTGTCTGAATAGGTATTTATGTCATAGTGGACGACCTGGGAGAGTCAGCTACAATCTGGACCTCTTCCTCTCTCCTTGACTATTGTTATTTTCAAAAAGTTTGTTTCACTACTCCTATTCCCTCTTCAGGGTCATGTTCATGAATTTCGTGATATTTACCACTTCACTCAATTCGATTCATTATATTACATAAAAGGGTTCGTTGGTAAACGTCACTTTTCTCTAGATCAGTACATTTATGATAGTTCATCTACTTGTTTTTCTAGAACTTGGTTGAGGGTGACTTATTTGGTACCATACCCTGTATATGTATTTTGTCAATGTGTGGATTTGCTTTGAGTTTCGCGCAAAGCTACACGAGGGCTATCTGCGCTAGCCGTCTCTAATTTAGCAGTGAAAGATTAGAGGGAACGCAGCTAGTCAGCACTACCCACCGCTAACTCTTGGGCTACTCTTTTACCAACGATTAGTGGGATTGACTGCCACATTATAATGCCCTCACGGCTGTAAGGGCAAGCATGTTTGGTGGGACGGATATTTGAACCCGCGACCCGCAGATTGCGAGTCGAGCTCCCTAATCACTTGGCCATGCCGGGCCCGCTATAGACGAAGAGATGACCGCCCATACAGATACATCAAAAGACAATTGTTAGTCAACCTCCTGGTGGTCAGATCTTCAAACCGATGGTCGGATATATGGTCAGACGGTACAAATTGTATACTCTTTTTGTTTTTTTAACACTAGTTTGCTTTATTTCTGTATATTTTGACATTTTGAGTACTTTTGTCTAAAAACACAGGGTGGTAGCACCGTCATAATATTTATGATCACACGATTGTTCGAATTTGTTGCATATTAATTTAAGCTCCGCTCGCATAGATGCAATAAATTTGAAATAAAGTACAGACTTATCAAATTATAAGTTTGTAGGTAAATCTTCGAGATCTATAAAGCATTAAGTCTTTTAAAAGCGAAATATTTAAGAATATTTAGTACTCCCGCCACCGAAGTTAGACGGAGGTTATATTTTCACCACTGTATGTGTATTTGTCAGAAAGATTTCTCGAAACGGCTCAATGGATTTGGACGAAAGTTTATATACATTTGCATTATGTCCCAACTTATAAGTGATTAGTTTTGAAGGATCAAAGTGAAAAGTAAAGGTCACATGAGAACCGATTTTCAGACTATGTTTGCTCTATAACTCAGTCAAAAATGGTTGGCCGTTGATTAAATTTGGAGGACATATGTAGAATATTATTCTGTATTGTCCTGTAAAAAAATGGTCCGTGTCCATTGTTATCAACGGACAAACGGACACATTTTCGTATTTTTTTGAGAGCCGCATATGATCAACGCTTCGTGGCGAATGTATACGCTCTACTGGGTGTCCCTCTAGTTGTAATTGTTGTAGTTTTTGTCCACTTTAAAAGGGGCCATATTTTACCAGCTTTGGGCGGAATACACTTCATGAGCTTTTATCTCAAAAGTTTGTGTTTTTAGTTTGTCAACCATGTATCTAAGTTTTATTCATTTAACTGCATTTACAGCAACAATTTGTGAATGCAGGGAATAGATTGTCGGAGATGTATGCAATCTTTTCAGCCTTATTTTACGTGATGCAACAATAGATTTGACATACACAAACAAATAACACCCTTCATTTAGTTCACATTCAGTTAAGAGTAACAAGTACGACAAAAAGTTACTAAAAAACTGAAAATTGTAACATTTCACTCATACCAGAAACAGTACGGGTTTTAAATAAAAATACCCATTACAACACCCAACACTTTAATTACACTTTTATATTTAGACTAAGGTCGAGAGGCCCTTTTCTCAATAGCAGGAATTATCAACATCTGGATCATAACACTCAAAAATTAGTTTCAGATATCAATATCTTGCATAGTTGTCGTATGCTTTAAAGAAGTTTGAACAAATTTTCAAGTAATAAAATCAAGACACTTAGCTTTTTGAGATCTTAAAACTGGGACTCCCTCTTTTTTGAGGTGGGGTGGGATTATAAACAATCAGTTAGGCAATTAATAACTATGATCAAGTGAAAAGCATGTTTTTACTTATATCATTTCTACTACAGATACCTTTCTGACGAAGGAATTGTTTGTTTTTCTAGCAACTTTTTGTTGGCCAGAAGTTTGTCGTAAAATTAGGAATATCTATCATTCATTTACACATTGAGTTGCATTGAGTAAAAATACTTCTTGAAAATCAAACATCGGCTGTGAACACCTCTCACCTGCATTCAACTATCTTTATTTAAATTTCCAGGGAAAAATCACGTGCTCAGTGAAGAACCAATAGTGATATCATGCCATCTACTGCAGCTTGTCTTATAATAGCAAACTTCAGAGAAAATAGCAAAAGTTATGTGAAATTTTCATAGTTAATTAAAGAAATGTATCTATTGATTCAGATTTTAGAGGCTCATAAAACTGTATACAAGTATAAAAAAGTTAAAGATTACCGATAAAAGTGAAAACCAAGACATTTAGGTGTCTCGGTTTGGATCTATCGGGACACTAGGACATAAACAGTCTGTCCCAGACAAACCGGGAAGTCTGATTATTACCCTGTCGACATTTGAATGAAAATACTAATACATGATATTGATTACGTTAACCAATCGTTTAACATGTTTAGAATCAACATGACTGGATCGTTTTCAATAAATGTTGCAATTTATTTGAACAATATTTTACTCTAAGTAGCAGTTTTCTCAAAACACGACAATTATATTGGTAGTATATTTGATAATAATCTCATTAGTTCTTAAAATATATTATTTTTTTAGCCTATGTTGTAGATTTAATGGAATAAGTACGTTTTTTTCTCTGGTTTTGGTTTGTTTTAAGATATACTACAAACTGAGAAATAATGCAGTGTACCTTTTACAAACAATGGCATCTGAATTTATGATTTAAGTAAAACAAAATAAATAATAAACCTAATCCTCACTACTTAATAAACGAAAACTATTTTCTATTCTCTTAGAAACGCTCACTATAGCTTTTATTTCTGATAATTGTAATTTCAGTTAAAAATTCCGTGTTTTAGAGCTATATTTAGAGCTGTATTTTCTCGTATTCATGGAATAAATCATAGTGATTTCACGTCCGAAAATGTCAGTTTAAGGAGACCCATAATGTATAACTTAAATTATAACGGCGGATTAGAATAGAAATGTAGGATAAAATAGTTTATCGTATTAAAATATATATATTTACTCAACGTTCTGTCTTTATCTGAGAGGTAACACCTCATTTGTTGAAATTAAATTCCCATTAAGAAGAATTTTACTCAGAAAATTAATCGTTAGAGGTTGAAACGAAATGGGGCACTGTGGTTTGAACCACTGTGAGTTGCTAAAGGTCAGCCATGATGACTGTGGTTTGAACCACTGTGAGTTGCTAAAGGTCAGCCATGATGACTGTGGTTTGAACCACTGTGAGTTGCTACAGGTCAGCCATGATGACTGTGGTTTGAACCACTGTGAGTTGCTAAAAGTCAGCCATGATGACTGTGGTTTGAACCACTGTGAGTTGCTAAAGGTCAGCCATGATGACTGTGGTTTGAACCACTGTGAGTTGCTAAAGGTCAGCCATGATGACTGTGGTTTGAACCACTGTGAGTTGCTAAAGGTCAGCCATGATGACTGTGGTTTGAACCACTGTGAGTTGCTAAAGGTCAGCCATGATGACTGTGGTTTGAACCACTGTGAGTTGCTAAAGGTCAGCCATGATGTTTTGCATTGTTCAAGTATACTGAACTTTAATGATAATGAAAAGTGTTCTTATTAACCAAACCAAATAAAGAAAATTGCTAGTTGCGGAATCTTCAAAATTAATATAAGAGTCTCGTTTAATTATTCTAATTATTTCTAAGAACTTGTTGAGTGATACACACTTCTTGTTTTTTTTCAAATATCAATGTCTAATAAAGTTTTGGGCAGAAAGTAGATAAAAGATGTAAACTTGGCATATTGGCAACACGATATTGTTCAATAAGTGACTGCTTCATTCTTTAGTCTCAACCTATTTGCTAATCCAAAGTTGTTATTGGCGTTTGATTTATTCTTTACTCACCCCAAGTAATTTATATTTCTAAAGATGGTTGAAGAATAATAACATTAATTCGATTAATTATTTTACACGCTTCATCTGACAAGCTGTTCAAGGAAGTTTTTTTTTCCCTTTTCAATGTATAAATTGTGAATTTCGGTGAGAAGAAACGTTCATAGTTATTTATGAGGGTTAAACTCGGTAACACGTGGGAAATTCATGACTAGACGTTTCTTTACCGCCCAAATTCACAAGTTTGGTGATAGAAAAGAAGCTACATTACCGTACATGTACTTGTCCTGTAAAGAAGAATGTTTCATGTAAACACTGACAAAAGGATTTTTTTTTTAATTTAGCTACAAGTTAATTAAAGAATAAGTAAAATATGTAATAACACGTTTTTAGAAAAGAAAACCGATTAATTAAACTCATAAAAAATTTTCAACGAGTTTTGTTGCACAGTAAAAACAGTTGGAGTGGGGGAATGTAAAAATGTATGCAGAAGTAAAAGTTTATAATTTTATGGTTCATGAGAATAGATTAATGGGAAAATATAGAATACTAGTTTTTATATTTATTCATTGACTGGAGAAAGTGAGAGAACTACAACACGTATGGAAGGAGAAAGAAAGAAATAATTTTGTTTTCTTTTGGTTGTATTTTTTCCATGAGTAAGGAACAAGTCAGTTAGAGAACTAAGTAAGTACTTAACCTTTTGGCCAAATGACTTTCTCAGAATAATGTATGCTACAAAATACATAAAAAAGTGGTCAGCGATCTGACCAGACGACATTCATACAATTCAATGTTTTCTCTGTCAGAACGATCATCATTTGCCTCTATTTACATAGATAACTTACTTTGCTTTGCTTTATTTACAAAATAAAATAGACTTATAGGTAAAATAATTTGTTTTGGATTTTACAATTGGTTGGATCTTTAGTAAAATTTATTCACTAGTCACTAATACGATTTAATCTGCCTAAGGAGGAACGTCCAGCAGAAAAAGAATTAAAATAGTCATAGGTTCAGTTACATATATGATTAACATTAACTAACCTTTTGGTGACACAATCATAAAATCAGCTGAGTCGGTTGTTCTGGGTTTTGAAGTCGTCACGGGTTTTAACTCTAGAAAAGCACGATATTACATAAATAGATCATCATATAATAATTTACCTTCCATTTATTCAGAAGTTGAAACTCCGAATATCGAGTTAGAAAATAGGATTAATAAGGATTAAAACTGATACAGTAAGTAAGTAAGTAGGATACTTTTTTCTGATATAAGCTAATTTATAACATTAATATACATGAAGTACAACATGTTGATTAACAATATTGAGAGTAACTGAATGAATTAAAGTAACATGTACATGAAGTATATATGTATAAATTACATCAACGAAGTACATCATATATATATATATATATATATATATATATATACTACTAGTTACGTTGTACTAAATTAAATAAGTTAAGTAATACGTATTAAGTAAGTAACTTAATTACTAGTAAGTTAGTTTAAGTTTAATTAAATTTAGTTTA